AAATGGTGGGTGAGTCTCCCAGCGGGGGCTGCTGCGTACACAAAGTCTCGAACTCGAAATCTTATTTAAGCTGGAACAAGCCGCTTACCACTTGATCCAACCCCTCGTTGGTGGTTCCAAACACTTTTAAATAGTTAATTTTGGTGTTCTGATGCACCCATCAGAAATTCATCGGCTGACTTTGTAGTGTTCTTCTTTTCATTGCCTTGCCTCCATTTTCACACGTCCTTCTTTTCTTGCTTCACCTGTATTGCTTCCAATTGATGTCGCAATTCCCTTTCAAGTTCTACCTCCCACTCACGCATGTTCCTTCTTCAACATAAATTCCAGCTCCAACTACCATTGCAACATTTGCTCATTTTTGTTTTGACTGCATTCGTTTGTCCTGATGATAACATAAAGGGCCTTTAATTGTAGTATGAATGTATGAAATACATAAATAATCTTATAAAGGAAAAAGTTAAGAAAACTTTATGAAAAAAGTGATTGGGCAACCAAACAGTCCCTAAAAATAATGTGTAGATATATGATTGAGTTGCAACCTTGAAGGTTGGATTTATTAATAAATTATAAGTATCATTTTGTAGGTTAGATTTAAGATTTAAGTTAGAGTTAATATTTAAAAAAATTGATCTTTTAATACAAAATACCAATGCGAGATACGTTCTTAAATTGTCCAAAAAATTTAATTTTTAGTTAATGTTAAAACTAACTTATAATCATTCTCACCATAAATATCATATTTAATACTCCATTTGTAAAACTTTGTGTAGGTTTAATTTTTTATTTTCTAAAAATATACTCCATATAATAATTAATGGATAAAATTTTGTATTTATTTTTAATTAATTAATATTTAAATAAATTTTTTTATTTAATACTGTATATGTTGTAATTATTTTAATAAAAATAAAATAAGTATTAAATAATATCTTGAAAAAGAAAAAAAGACACTTTAAATAAAAAAAATTTAACTAGACCAAAATTATGAGGGAGTATGATGAACTCGTCGATCCATGATACACTTTCTTCTTCTCCGTAACATATATAAACGGAGTATGAATCCACCAGTCGCTGTCCAAATTTGGTTGCTTCTGTACCATGAGACGTTACCTATGTAAGTTGCTGAAGCATTTTCAAAGTCTTTTTTTTTTTTTTAAATGTTCGAATTGCTTTGTTAATTTGCCATTTCTTTAACTTCTTAGAAGTTGCATTGCTAACTGGAGAAAAAGGAAACCCAAAGTTTGAATTCACTGTCATCTTGTACAACAAATTCAGATTTTAAGTTTGGGCAATTCCATAAAGAAATTAAAATTTTTAAATATATAAGGTTGATATAAGTGTATTTTTAAGATTAATTGAAAAAAAATTAATTTTAAAATATATAAAAATTAATTTACATACACTATAATTGTTAAAAAAAATCCGTATCTAGATATTCAAAATTAATTTACATACACTATAGTACATAATGAATGAGTTGGACCGAATTTTTAGATTGGATAAGATTTCACTATGGCTACGTTTATCTGAATTATTTTCTCACCCACGAAAGGTCCAAAATATAATTGCATGTGAGACCATCTGCCTTGTGGGGTTTGTTTGGTTTTGGTGCTTACCGTCTTTTTCTTTTTGGTAATAATTTGGCGCTTATTTCCACCAAAAAAAAATTTGGTGCTTACCGTCCGAGGTCTGTCTCGTGGGGTATATCGCTTTTCTTTGTTTCAATTCCGTCCCGATTCAGTGCCAGAAATAAGGCCAAAGGGCCACAGTTGTTGGCCCTTACAATCATAATGGTGGAAGGAAAGACAGACGCGTGTAAATTTATATTTGTATGTAGCTTTGTGTTTTGATTTTGCTACATGGTTAAATGTCTAAAGCAGAGTAGGCACCTTTGGAATAAGAAAACAAGATTTATGAAGCGCAAACGAGACTTTAGAGTGGAATATATGGGTGAGTTTGCAGGGAGGGTTTCGAATGAGCATTTTTGGTTTTGGTGTAAAATAGAGAGAAATGAAATGAGCTCACCTCAGTTGGCTATTATTGAAAATGTGAGAGAAAAAGGTCATTGGGCTTTTTGTTAATGAATTT